CCAGCGCCACGGCAGATCCCGGGAGCCACGGCAATTCCTGAGAGCCACAGCAAATCCCAGCAGCCACGGCAATTCCTGAGAGCCACGGCAATTCCTGAAAGCCACGGCAATTCCTGAGAGCCATGGCAATTCCTGAGAGCCACGGCAATTCCTGGGAGCCACAGCAATTCCTGAGAGCCGCGGCAATTCCTGGGAGCCACGGCAATTCCTGGGAGCCACGGCAAATCCTGGCAGCCGTGGCAGTTCCTGGGAGCTGTGGCAATTCCTGGCAGCCAAAGCAAATCCTGGCAGCCGTGGCAAAGCTTGGAAGCCATGGTGAATCTCTGTGGCCACGGCAAATCCTGGCAGCCTTGGCAGTTCCTGGGAGCTGTGGCAAGTCCTGGCAGCCAAGCACGGCAATTCCTGGCAGCCGTGGCAATTCCTGGGAGCCACGGCAATTCCTGGGAGCCACGGCAAATCCTGGCAGCCGTGGCAGTTCCTGGGAGCTGTGGCAATTCCTGGCAGCCAAAGCAAATCCTGGCAGCCGTGGCAAAGCTTGGAAGCCATGGTGAATCTCTGTGGCCATGGCAATTCCTGGGAGTCGTGGCAATTCCTGAGAGCTGTGGCAATTCTGGGGAGCCGTAGCAAAGCCTGGGAGCCGTGGCAGTTCCTGGGAGCTGTGGTCGTGGCAATTCCTGAGAGCTGTGGCAATTCTGGGGAGCCGTAGCAAAGCCTGGGAGCCGTGGCAGTTCCTGGGAGCTGTGGCAATTCCTGGCAGCCACGGCAGATCTCTGTGGCCATGGCAATTCCTGGCAGCCTTGGCAATTCCTGGGAGCCATGGCAATTCCTGGCAGCCGTGGCAGATCTCTGTGGCTGTGGCAATTCCTGGCAGCCACGGCAGATCTCTGTGGCCATGGCAATTCCTGGGAGTCGTGGCAATTCCTGAGAGCTGTGGCAATTCCGGGGAGCCGTGGCAAAGCCTGGCAGCCACAGCAGATCTCTGTGGCCATGGCAATTCCTGGGAGCTGTGGCAATTCCTGGCAGCCAAAGCAAATCCTGACAGCCACGGCAAAGCTTGGAAGCCATGGTGAATCTCTGTGGCCATGGCAATTCCTGGGAGTCGTGGCAATTCCTGGGAGCTGTGGCAATTCCGGGGAGCCGTGGCAAAGCCTGGCAGCCACAGCAGATCTCTGTGGCCATGGCAATTCCTGGGAGCTGTGGCAATTCCTGGCAGCCACAGCAGATCTCTGTGGCCATGGCAATTCCTGGCAGCCATGGCAGATCCCTGTGGCCGTGGCAATTCCTGGCAGCCACAGCAATTCCTGGCAGCCGTGGCAGATCTCTGTGGCTGTGGCAATTCCTGGCAGCCACGGCAGATCTCTGTGGCTGTGGCAAGTGCCGGGGGCCACGTGCCCCACATTCCCGTGGACACGCCGCGGGTCCCCGCTCTGCGGGTGACAGGAGGTGGCCTCTCCGAGCCCTTCGGGGCTCAGTGACCCATCGATGGCCGCTCCATCGCCCATCCTGAGCCAAAACGTTCCCGATCCATGCTGGGAAACGGCTCCGAGCGGGGCCCGGCACCGTCACGGCCTCTCCCCCACCTTGCAGATGGCGTCCGCTACTGACTCCCGCTATGGGCAGAAGGAATCCTCGGACCAGAACTTCGATTACATGTTCAAGATCCTGATCATCGGCAACAGCAGCGTGGGGAAAACCTCCTTCCTGTTCCGGTACGCCGACGACTCCTTCACGCCCGCCTTCGTCAGCACTGTGGGCATCGACTTCAAGGTCAAGACCATCTACCGGAACGACAAACGCATCAAGCTGCAGATCTGGGTGAGGGGAGACCCTCGGGGTGCCCCCAGAGCCCTGGGCTGGGCTGGGCTGATGGGGAGGGGGCGATTGTTGGTGGGGGGAGATGCACGGTGAGGGTGGTGGTCAGTGAGGGGTGGGGGTGATGGTCAGTGAGGGGTGGTGGTCACTGAAGGGTGATGGTCACTGTGGGATAATGCTTGCTTGGGTGGTGGTCACTTGGGGTGGTGGTCAGTGTGGGGTGGGGGTGATGGATTGTTGATATGGGGGTGGTGGTCACTGTGGGGTGATGGTCAGTGAAGGGTGATGGTCACTGTGGGGTGATGGTCACTAGGGGTGATGGTCACTAGGGGTGATGGGCACTGTGGGGTGATGGTCACTAGGGGTGGTGGTCACTGTGGGGTGATGGTCACTAGGGGTGGTGGTCACTGTGGGATAATGCTTGCTGGGGTGATGGTCAGTGTGGAGCTGCCCCAGGCTGGGGCTGGATCTGCCCCCATGCACCCGCTGGCCCCGGGGGAGGGTGTCACCTCATCCCTGGGGGTGACATTCTGCTGTCCCTGGCCAGGACACGGCCGGGCAGGAGCGGTACCGCACCATCACCACCGCCTACTACCGCGGGGCCATGGGCTTCATCCTCATGTACGACATCACCAACGAGGAGTCCTTCAACGCCGTGCAGGACTGGTGAGCCCCACGGGGGGCTCTGGGCACCCCAAACCGCCCCAGCCGCCCCCTCCCCACACCTCTGATCCCCCCTCTCCCTTCCCCAAGGTCCACCCAGATCAAGACCTACTCCTGGGACAACGCCCAGGTCCTGCTGGTGGGGAACAAGTGTGACATGGAGGATGAACGCGTGGTCTCCTCGGAGAAGGGACGCCAGCTCGCCGAGCACCTGGGTGAGTTGGGGAGGGGGAACCCCCCACCACGGCTGCCAGCCCACAATTAATTTAATTAAGGGCTTAATTCCCTGCGTGCAATCGCTCCGCTGTGACATCGGCGGCGGCACCTGGTGAGACACCGGAGTCGCTGCACACCTTAAACTCTCTGAGAGATGCTGGGGGGAGGATCTGGGGGGGGTTCTTTGGGTGGGAAAAAGGGGATTTTGTGGGTGGTGGGGGGCAGGTTACAAACCCTTTAAATATTGAATGAGGAGGAGGAGGAGCAGCCGCGCGAGGTCGGACGCTCGGACGCAGCTTTGACGCGCGTGCGTGTCCCTCTGTCCCCCTCCACTTTGTCCCTCTGTCCCCCTCCACATTGTTCCCCACTCCGCCCCACCTCAGGGTTTGAGTTTTTCGAGGCCAGCGCCAAGGACAACATCAACGTGAAGCAGACCTTCGAGCGGCTGGTGGACATCATCTGCGAGAAGATGTCGGAGTCCCTGGACACGGCCGACCCCGCCGTCACCGGCGCCAAGCAGGGCCCCCAGCTCACGGACCAGCAGGCCCCCCCCCACCAGGACTGTGCCTGCTAGGGGCCAGCTCACCCCCCCTCCCCAAAAATCCACCCCCCCAAAAACCGGTCAGTGCACCCCAAAACCTCCCCACCCCCACGAGCTCCTCCTCTTGGGGGTCCCGCGGGGGCTATCTGGGGGGGTTCTTTGGGTGGGAAAAAGGGGATTTTGTGGGTGGTGGGGGGCAGGTTACAAACCCTTTAAATATTGAATGAGGAGGAGGAGGAGCAGCCGTGTGAGGTCGGACGCTCGGACGCAGCTTTGACGCGCGTGCGTGTCCCTCTGTCCCCCTCCACTTTGTCCCTCTGTCCTCCTCCATTTTGTCCCTCTGTCCCCCTCGTTCCCCACTCCACCCCACCTCAGGGTTTGAGTTTTTCGAGGCCAGCGCCAAGGACAACATCAACGTGAAGCAGACCTTCGAGCGGCTGGTGGACATCATCTGCGAGAAGATGTCGGAGTCCCTGGACACGGCCGACCCCGCCGTCACCGGCGCCAAGCAGGGCCCCCAGCTCACGGACCAGCAGGCCCCCCCCCACCAGGACTGTGCCTGCTAGGGGCCAGCTCACCCCCCCTCCCCAAAAATCCACCCCCCCAAAAACCGGTCAGTGCACCCCAAAACCTCCCCACCCCCACGAGCTCCTCCTCTTGGGGGTCCCGCGGGGGCTTTTGCTGCTGATACCTCCGAAAGGGCTGCGGCCCCTCTAGGAGCCCCCCACCCCAATTCATTAGGTTATGCCCCCCCACCCCTTAATTTATTTTTTAGCCTGGGCTGGTAGAAAACTCCTCCCCCCCCTCCTCCATTCTGCTTTTAATCA